GGCTGCGCCACTGGTTGGGTGTTCCCGAGGGAGCAGAGCACCAGGTCTGGGCATCTTCCTGCAAAAACCAGGCTTGTCCTGACGCAGGACCCTGACGGGTTCTGAAGCCCATTTGTTGAGATTATGCTGTGATCAGGATCTCCTTCCAAGAGTAGCGCTTGTATAATRAACACAGAATCACAGAATCGTTAGGACCTCTGGGCATCATCCAACCCAACCTCCTGCCAAGGCASGATCACCTGGATCACAGAGGAACGAGTCCAGGTGGATTTTGAGTATTGCAAATACCCTGTAAGAAAATTCAAACCTAGTTTGTCCAGAGGGAGACTCCACGACCTCYCTGGACGTGAAGACCAAAGCGAAGMACATACRGAGAAATGATTGTGCAGTCGACAACGCATCTGAGCCTTCAGTCTCTGGATGGACACGGGCAGCAACTGGGATGGTGCCAGGGACCCTCTACCCTCAGCACCCAGCAGCTGAACGGATGGGCGCTGGTGTGCTGCCTTATTGGGTGTCCCCTTGCTTAAGTGAAAACTAGGACAACTACAGGAAAAACACACAAAAAAYTGTTTTCAGGTTCRTGTCCTGAAAATAATTGTAGACAATGGATTTCCCCCACCCATTTTCCCTCCTGTTATTTTCTTATCTGAAAGAGATGCTAATTTAAGATTAGTATCTTGAGGAAATCTGCTACAGGATAACATTTGAGTAATGGATGTTTTTGGAGAATAGTGTTACTAAATTGCCAGTGGCYAATGAATCCAGATAATGCTTGATACATATTGAAAGTCTTCTGTTCCTTTTACAAAAGGTCTCCACATTTTTAGCAACTAAAGCATTTCAGTATTTCTTTCTTCAAGGCATTATTTTAGAATTAAGATCTTTTGTTTGTCTTTCTTGTGGCAATACACCTTGAGCAACTAATAAAGTTTTTCTAAACTACAATAAACCTTACAGAAATTACTGCTGTCTTTACAGGCCCATGCAAATAATTTCTCTACTTTCTCTACTTCTAAACTTTGCAAATGAACCTTCAAAACTTTGACACAAAACTTAAATAAGCCTGTATCTAGCATTTACTGACTATTATACATTAGGATATTGTACCAGAAGTTCACTTCCATTCATGATATTTCTGCATGAGGATTGCAAATTCAAAACCAGAGGAGGAGATGTTCTCAGTTTAGGGAAGGGTTTCATATTAGAGGTGCATTTTGTTCAGTTTATTGTTTGTCTTTGAAACCTGAGGTTATTTTTGTCAAGAACAGGGGCAAGTGATAAATTCAGCTCACCCACCCTTAAATGTCTGCAATGTGGTGTTCATAACTGAGGTACTTGTCAACTTCCCCAGCACAGTCTATAGAGATTTGTCTCTGTAGCTGATATGGTCTATGGAACTGCTTGATGAAATGTATGGTCTGTTCCAGGATGAGAGACAAAYAAATAGTCAATACCTACCTCAGAGTAGGATTCTGCTGCAGAGCTAAAAGGTTCTTCTGGCTCTTGTGGCTGGTGTCTGAACATTTGTTGTGCAATTATAACTATGGACAGCATACTTTAAAGAACTGAAGCTGAAAAGTAGCTGTGTTTTAACTGTGATGTCCGTGTAGAGAACAAGGGACTAGTCCTCTGTGATCATAGCCACTGTGCTATGTGAATGCCTTCATAAATTTACTTTCATGCTGAAGAAAGCCCCAAGYCTGTGTTTTCATTCTGTAGACCTACTATGCCAAACTCAAGTCTTTGATGCAATGACATTCCTACAACATTTAGGATTTTTTTCCAAACCATGTGCTAAATTTATTAATTAGTAATTYGTACCATATATGCTTGTGCTAGCATTTATTTCTGGCTTACATAGTTTATTGTTTACCTATTTGATGCATTTGTTGGGAATTAGCATCCATTCTGTTTCAGTATTTAGCTTGGTAGCCTAAATAAAGTAGAGTTCTGAACTGTATTCAGAAACTATGCTTTCAATTTCCATAGCCACCATGGTACCATTTATTTGGCCTATTCCAAGTTAGTTCATATTTCATATGTGATCAGAATCTCAAACTGTTCCTGRGAGGTGATCTTACCACATCACTTAGACTTCTTTGCCTCTGCTGKGAATATTTATACTAACACCTGTTAAGTTACATTTGCTATGGTATGGTAAGCCTGTAGGCACCAGTATATATTTAGCTCCTCTTCCATATCAGTTCTTTTGTAGAGTCCRCAATGATGATAGAAATTTTTGCCTCTAAAAAGTAATGCAGTCTGCACACCTACTGTTCAGGGCCCTGAGTGTCTCTGAGAAGACTCAGGAAAACCGGGCCAAAATGCAAAAGCCACGTCTTCCTTACTTATACATTTTTCAAGAAGAATTGAAATTCAAACACTAGCACAGCCATGCCTACACATGCCCAAACTCCAGAAGGAATTCCAAAGAAGAGAGGTAAGAGCTAATCTGAGGTGTGCTCAGACATTAAGCAGGGTTATAGTGAGGTTGCCTGACATTGACACGTTTTCCAAAAGACTCAGGTCTCCCTCTGTGGCCATAGATAAAAGTAACAGCTTATTCTGGATCTTTAGTTGCATTAGTCAGCATTTTCAAAAGTGCCTCGAGAAATGGAATCGTGGTCTAAGATTTGAAAGGGACCTGAATTTTAAAACTTAGGGAAGCAGTGACACCAAATCTTTCTGCCAGAATCTGTCAAGGCCTCTTTCATGAGAAGTGGAGGACTGTCCTCACAGGTCCCAGGTGTATTACTGAGACATACAATTGTCTCATTGCCTGCTTATGACGGGCAGATATTTATGACTGCCACAGCCTGACTGGCAACAATAAACTCAACTCATTTCCTATGTGTARGCCCTGTTTGTCATGTAACCCCTCATGTGTGAGAGATACCTGGAAGGGCAAAATTTGGTAAAATGCAATGCAAAAAAACTCTGACATTTAGAAATAACTGTATGTCCAACAGCYACTGCAGATAAAGGGAGGCTGCTGTGGGAAATGGGCTATAAATCTTATAAGCAAGCTAGACAGGCCAAGAGGAGCTGTGGAATAAATGTGGTTTCATATATATATATATATATACACACACATAAATGTAGAAAAATCCCTACACTTTAATTTCCAAGTCTTTAGCCACTTTAGAAAGTGATTCCGGGATTCAGAGTTTTGAAAATACCTTGCCCTTGGTCTTTGCAAGGCTGTGCAAATTATTCATTTGGGGCAGAAGTGTCAAAAATGGACTAAGTCCTGTAAAATGATCAGAATTGCATTAACATTTCAAATGCTCTTTTTCACCATTTGAATCCCTGTCACAATAACTAAAATCTTTATGAAAAATCAAAACCTTTCCACTATCTCTCATGTTAATAATGAACACTGGATARAGAAGGATCTCCCAAAGTGGTATTTTAATTAATACATTTTGCACTATAACTAGCTCCTGGGAATTCAGATATGCTTGCACAGAGGGACTTTAAAAYTTAAATATTCTTAATAAGCTTTTTCTTACAGTTAGCACTAATTGAGGACTACAGACAAGAATGATTACTTTTCTAGTAAAATAATTCYTCAGTTGAATTCCTACAAGAATGCCTTTTGTTCTTTTGTGGGTTACAGTCACAATTTATATTCAAGAAGTATTGAGTATTGAGTATCCACAAAAAGGAGTATTGTGATTTTGCTATCAATCTTTTTAGCAACACATTTTTTTTTTCAGTACAGTTTTATAGTTTGGTTTGTTGTGGTTGTCCCAAATTAGACAGAACAAGATCAGAGACCACAATAAAATGTGGTAAGCAGTACTGGTGTAAAGACTWTTTGGTCTCAGAACATGAATTGCTCCATTTATAAAGCTGAGTCTAAACTGGAAATAWAAGAATAAATGAGTTATAATAATGCCCAAAAGAGTAAAAAAAAGATGAGTTTAAATTTTAGGTTGCCATGCTCAAGATGAGTAGCCAATAATAGAAGGAGACCAGGGACTGTGACTTATCACTGGATATAGTACCTCTGATACTTCCTTATTTCCATATACTGTATTTTGCAACCTGTATAATAGTTTTTATATGCGGGAATGTTTTTTACAGTTCTACTTGCAGGCTAGTTCTTAAAAAATAAGTGGGCAATTCAGAGTACTGAATATGTAAACCAAACAATTTGACTTTTGAAAAATCCTCTGCACTGTTTGTGTTTAATTTCCGATGCACTTCCACTCTTTAGCTTGCTGCTTTAGGACACAATCTATTTTATAAGGCACAGCACAAGCCAAAAGKGAGAGATTACTGAGAAACAAAACAATGCTGCAAAGCTGATTTTGCAAAGCCAGARAGTCCCACAAAGCACTTTATGTGTTTGTCTTTCCTAAATGCTCACTTAGAAGAYGGATTTTGCTAGATAGACATGTAAAATTGGGTGCATCTATGTATTGTACAAACAGATTGACTGTCCAGCTGGTGAAATATGCTCTTCTGGAACCCTCCAACGGTAAGTAAATTTAAATTTATACATATATACCATGATTCTGTCAATAAGTTGAGGTGATTTCCCCCTTCTAGGCAATTTTTAAAAATTATTAAATTTAAATGGCATTACAAATTAATCTATATTTATATTGTATTTTGATAGTGTATTTCTTCACTATGCAGAGGAACAGGTCATATTAGATCACAGTAAGACTAGAAATTCTGACTGAACTTAGGTTTTGTTTCAGAATAAAAAATTCTGGAGGAATAGTGGGAAAAGTTTCCTTTTGTACCACCTAAGACACTCAGCTTCTTTCCCAGAGTGTGATCTTGTGATCCTTCTATTCTTCAACAAAAACCTAGACAGATTATGCAGTGCATATTATCCTTTATCACATGGTGAGTTGTGACTAAATTTGCACATTTTCAGTTCTTCTCTTTGGGAATATGTAGCCATGGGTATGCTTGTAAAAGTCCTTCTTAAAGAATTTTTTACCTAATAGTTTTGCAAAGAAAGAAAACACCAAAGTTTCATCTAGTTTTAGATGAACATTTAGTTTTGTCTAATCTAAGTACCATTAATTGGAAGTACATTCCTTTAGTTAAATGAAGAGCCAAATCAATGAATTTTCCAGGCTGTTCTAGTTGCAGCTGATCTCCCAGTGGTTGTCTTCATTAAATTTTCCTTTCAAAGCCATAGCCTCMCTGTACATGTCTTTGGCCTTTCTCCCTCTATCTCTTACCAGTAATGTTTGTGCTTGGCCATGGTGAGAGTTCCCTCTGTCTCATAATRATTTGTTATTTTTTTCCCCAAATGYTAGCTATCTGCATGCCCCACGTTGTTTCCCAGTATTAAGATGTATCAGTGATTACATCTCCGGAGAGAGTGGGATGAAAACTGATGCTCCAGCCTCTCTAACACCTAGCTCAACAGGGTATTGCAATAAATTACTTTTTGGTACAGATCAGTATAGTGAATTTATAAAAAAACTGAAAGTTATCATGGCAAATGTGGTGGCCCGTAGTCTGAGCTACTCTGAGATGGCTTTTTTTGGTATAAGTTTTCTTTACTATGTAGCTAGATGCTTGGATAAAAAATTAATTTCACCCTATGATACCATATCAGCTCCACTGATCCCTCCAGCTTCATGTGAGTATTTATGAAAGAGTCTTGACACATTTTGGCACATAGTAGATTGTAAAACATTATTCATGTTGATGAATTGTTGCTCATGAGTAACTTTAATAATTACTGTAGATTTTAATATAAAGAACAAAATGTTGCATTTTATTTTCTAATTTGCCATCTGGCAGGCAGTTTTCTTTTCCACAGCTTTATAAAAACTCACCAAATATACACAGGCTCAAGCAAGAAGCAGAAATATTAGTCAATGCTCTTCGCTTTGGGGAATGGGCCCATCACACCGATTGCATCGTACTGGATGATATCAACAACTGGACTGTGGCATAATGGAAAGGGACACAGGCTAGCACAGAATAGTTTTCACAATAAATTCCTAATATTTCATGCCATTTGATCAAAGTGTAGAATTTAGAGGTGTAAAAACCTTTGATTATTTGAKTCRCTGGATAGTATTTAATTAGACATAGCTTTACTTTGGTTCTCTTCTTTGATTCACTGTGAAATTTCATATTGATTTAAAAGATTCACATACGTTGATCTCATAAATGAAATTGAGTCAAGGTTTCTGTTTTTATCTAACAGTATGAGACACACTTTGAATTCAGAGCCTTATTAAACTGATATTTGCTCTAAGATTCTGAGTGTAAAAACCCTTCTATTTGGATACAGAAGCTATTACTTATGAAGATAATATCCAGCAACTATGGAAGTCTTTTGATCTCAAGCTGTTACTGATACTGGCAGAGTAAGACATGGAAAGAGGAAATGAAAGCACAAAAAAACAYTAGCAGAAYGAAGAGTTGAAATTGTTCCTTCTGCCTCTTACTCAAAATCATAATTTTGCTTGAAGAAAGAGAAATATTTGCAAAATAAAAACTTAATTRTGTGATTCTGGCTTTCATTTAATATTGGGATCAAAGGAGGTTTTGAGAAGACTATTCCACATTGATTATAACAATTTATGATGGGATGTTTGTTTGATTTGTTTATTTCATTTTCTCATGCCTCTTCCAYATTATTTGTGAGGATTTTGTTGCTTTTTAGTGGAATTCAATTTTATTTTCTCAACAGATAATATATAAAATAAAACAGGCCAGGCAAAATTCCTCCAGTAAATATTTTTAAATTTTGTGTCTCCATACATCAATAGCTTCCGTGTGCCTCTTCTTAGTTTTTAACATATGAATAGGTTTTAAATGTTCACTAGATTTTTGTATATGTTTGGGAAGGCCATGTAGAACATAAATGTATCAGGTTATGCCAAGTATCGTCAATTAAAATGCAAAGGAGTTAGTCAGAGATCAAACATAGGCAGTAATGAGTGAAAAAAAAAAGGATGTTTTACTGGCAGGCACTGCTGGTTTTCTGTCTCCTTATTGATTCCTTCCTTTGATTTTCCTTTAAATACTTTTGGAGAACTGATTCTATAAAAGGTCTAGCTAGAASTGAAGGGAGAAACAAGGAACTCAAACTGAACTTCAAGCCCAATTTTGTGTTTTCAAATATGCTTTTTGTGTGCGTCTGCCACTAAGCCAGCACAAATCTTTTACAGCTCTAGGATGCTACTTACACTTCCTGAAAATTTTGCCATAGAGTGTCCTCTTACCGCATCTCTGTCTACTTTGCTCCAGTTCTAGGGGCCACTTCATTCAATTTTCACCAGAGAGAAATTCGCGATTTTTGTGGACCTAGTTCATTAGCAATGGAATGGATAGGGTTGGCTTAGCAATACCTTGCAACTGGCAGTTCAGGTAGAAACCCCACTGAATTCTATTACTCCTCTGAATACTTTAAATCAGTCTCTTGTGTAACTTTCTTGGCTTGATTTTCCCTCAGTATTTCAGATTGGGCTATTTCCTAAGTACTCTGTCCAGGTTTTTAAACATCTATTTCCAGAATTGGCTCTCAAGAATTGCTCCTGCAACCTCGGGTTCTTCACTTCCCTCTGACTTCTGTGTTGTAAGCAGAACCAAATGAGGCCAGCTCCTCATTTGCATTTCTGATSTGGCTTGAATGACTCTGTCCATATTACCCCTTCTATGCATTTTTTGTACCATAAATGAAATTTGGGAGAGCGGTGTCAGTACTTGTACCTACCTTTTCCTGACCAAACTCAAGCATACAAATGTGATTTGGCCTTGTGAATGGAGATTCTTGGGCATCTCAAAGTATGCCAAGTTCTCTCACCCATTCAGTGTCCTACATAAAATCACCATATGCAGTTGGCATAGATGGAAGCTGTTCAGCCATGCCTTGAGGAGCTGGGGCTGTTTGCMCTTCAGATAAATCTGTGACTATGTGGGTTTTAAAGTGCCTGCAGGACAAGCAGACAAATGCAGAGTTTTGCTAGGAGCATGGTGGCTGAGTCACTGTACAGCAAGCCCCATTGATGTCTTACAAGTCAGCATTTTGCAAACCTGCTGAGTATAGCCTTTAGCCCATATTTACCAACAGGAATACCCTCCCTACTGACCAGTCCTACAAGTCTTGGTGTCTTTGCCCTTATGGCAAAGAGAGGGAACGATGTCCTGGACTACACTGGCAAAGCACTACCAACAGGCAAAGGGAGGAAAACTCTGCTGCTCTATTCAGCACTGGTAATCACTACTGCAGCTGGAGTACTGCATCCCATTCTGGATAACCCAGTGCAACAGAAATATGGACATACTGGGTCTTCCAGTGGAGGACCATCAGGATGCTGAAGGGACTGGAGTATGCCTCCAGTAAGGAAAAAGCTGAGAGAGCTGGGACTGTTGAGGCTGGAGAAGAGAAGGCTCGGAGGGATGTCATCAATGTGTAGAAATACCTGMTGGGAGAGGGCAAAGGGTACAGAGCCAGGCTCATCAGTAGTGCCCAGTGACAGGACCAGGGACAGTGGGCACACACTGACACACAGGAGGTTCCTTCTGAACATCAGGAAACAGCTTTTTTTACTGTGAGGGTGACTGAGCACTGACATGGGTCACCCAGGGAGGTTGTGGAGTCTCTGTTCTTGGAGATGTTAAAAATTTACATGGTCATGGGYAGCCTGCTGTATGTGGCCCTGTTTGAGCAAGGGGGCAAATGACCTCCAGAGGTCCCTTCCCTCTTCAACCATTATGTGACAGTATAATTAATTTCTAACATAAAAGTTCAGCACACTTYCTGGCAGAACTGGAACATGCCCTTGAACTATTTTTTTGTGTCAGAAGTACAGTGTGCTATGAATGAGTAGATAACTCTTAAGTCATTCAATTTCCCTTCGTTCAGACCTCAAACACTTTGGACCTTGGACTTTGTATTTGAATTGTCATTTTATCTCTTTCCAGTCCCTCAAARTCCTCCACAGAAATCTCAAATGTAATTTCCATCAGCTGATGTGTTTAATCATCCATTATCCTAATCAKTCATCTTTTGTGTATGTTATCCTATAGTTGTGTGCATGCCAGTTCAGTTAATATGCTTGATGCATAAACATCTGGTTATTGCTAACAAAATGATTATTATTTTTGCCATAAACAGAAAAAAATTAGAYGCAAATGCTGCCACTGACATTCTTTGAGGTAATTGTTTTTTTCTTGCCAATGACTTACAATCACTGTGYAGCTATTTTTGTATATAACAGATTTCTCAGTTCTAGTGGAAGAGATGAGGTCACTGTTTCATATCTATGGAGATATGCATCAGCATGCAGTATTCTACTTGATACAGTAATTTACAGCAGCTCTGCGTTGTTCCTGTTTGCACTGTGAATTCAGAARTCTGTATTTGCTATCAAAATAACATATGCGCACACTGTAAGGCAAATTCTCCCTTTTCTGAAGAGAAATTCTTTCTTTCCTGGTACCATTACAMGGCTTTTGTTTGCAGCTTTAAAAGTCCTGCCATTCCCAGTTCGAGGAAGCACCATTTTAATAGAAAGCATTTTTTATTTATGAAATATTCCCACTACTCCTATGGATCATTACACMACCATGAAAAGAGCAGAGAAGCTGAATTTGGATGCTGCTGCAGTACAGATGATTTATGTCCTTATGCTTCTTATAGTAATGCTTTGTGAAATGATACTGACAGACACAAAGTTTTCTACAGGTGTAGAAAAMCATGCAATATGATTGCAGGCCTGGCAAGGAAACTATTTTAGCTTCATTTTCAGATAGACAAGAATTTTTTTAGAAACAAAAATTCTTCCTTTCCCAGTAATCACTTTTAGCWACAGTTCTTTTAAATGACCAGAAGAAAGCCTTTGTGTGAGTGGAATGACATCCTTAAAGATAAGAAAAAATTTCTTGATCTAGTTGGCTGCATGCTAAGAATCAAGACTAAAAAGTAYTATCCAACCAAAACTAGGTGAAAACCAGGTGACAGGCATGCATTGTTGTTGAATATCAGAACAACAACACCTGCTTATTCTGCCTTTTTCTCACAGCAACTCCATAACTACAGAAATATTAATAATTAAAAGGTATAAATGCTTCTCTGCACTTAAGAGTAGGTGTGAAATACCATTTTTATATGTTTTGATCATGCTGCCTATGACTATTCATCTATCTGCTGTGGGGTAGAAAAACAGACAGAGAAATCTTTTTTTTCAGGTTCTGACTTTCATTTTGCAAGACGTGAACTTTTTTCCCCTTAATAACTAGATATTCGTGCTTGAAAGGCTTGACCTGGGCACTTGACTTTCTGACTAAAGAAGGCTACACCCACATGATTGGTGTAGAAAAAAATGTGACCCCTTGTTATTAGTGGATGCTAAAGCTCTCTTGTATCCTTTCATGGATTCAGCACRTGCTTCCAAAGCCGTCAGCCTGAGATGTGACCTCACATTCTTAGTTTCTTACATTATTCTGAGATTCTTATCATTACTATGCAAACCTTCATTTCAAAGAGGATTTTGTTTTAAGGAGTTGTGCAGAAATACCCTTGCTCTTTATTTGAGRTGAATTTTAAAAGCTGTAAAGGTTCAGTGCAGTTAGGAAACTTGTAAGGAGGAGTAGAGAGTGAAACAGTGTTGTGGTCAAATGCCATTTCAACAATTGTAGTGCTATTTGCTTAACAACCCTTCTGAATCTTTTAATCCTGGAATTACATACTATGTTAAACACCAAAGGCATTCAATCCCAGAGCTTTTCAGTAAGGCATGAAAGGATTGTTACACAGTCTTCTCTTAGTTCTGCATTGCTTAATTAACCAGTAAGATTTAGTGACTTAGTAAGGGTGATCATTCTCTATCCAAATTTTACTAACAGGTGACAGAAAGCATCTATCCCTAATAACAACTATCTTAACTGTAATAATCGATTGTAGCATTTTCTTTAGTGAGTTCATTTTAGCCTGGGAGGCTAGAGCTCCCTCTGCAGTAGCCTCTTTCCAAACAAGACTTTGTGAAAGTGGTGACAGTAACACTTGTGCTGCCAAAGTGCCTGTGGCATCAGAGCCTCTGTCCAGGGAGGATGTTCCACCTGACTGGCACTGCCACGTTTCTGCTCAGGTCCCCAGAAGTGTAAGTAGTTGTTGTTTTGGCTACAGAGCACTGTAGCTTTCTAGGAGAAGCTTTGTAAGTGTTCTTTCCTTAGTGCAATACAATCAAGCCAAATGCTTGAGAAACCTGAAATGGTTTTTTTGCAAAAAAAAGAGGAAGAAGAGACTGTTATGATCTGTAATTGCCTTAATAGGCATCCATCTACTATGTAACTTCATAGCTTGTGACTGCTATGCGGCATCCATCTGCTGTGTGACTACAAATGGGTTTCTGAAACTCCTAAAGAAAAGGATCCCACTCCATAACTCAGGCTTGGAAGACTTAAAACATGAAATGGGACAAGGTGAAGTGTCAAAGAAAGGAAGTTCATCTACAGTTATTCAGGAAAACAAAATTCTGACTTGTCTATGCAATTCTTGGAAGATGCTCCAGTCTCGTATGTCTGACTTGCTGCTGGAGAGGTCCAGTCCCAGCTGGAACAGAAAAAGTAGCATTCTCTGTGATCAGCAGGACTGGGGACAAAGCTCAATACTTCTGGAACTGGAGTTGCTAATGACACCCTTCCAAAAGAAGAATGAGAAAGTCAGAGGAAGGGTACTCACAGAAGCAGCAAATCAGACCTGTCATTGCAAAGAAAAGTAACCATCCTGCCCTTTTCTTAAAAATACTGCTGCAAACCAGTACTGAACCAGAAGTGTGATGTTCATCAAGTTTCTGGAACCTCTGTGCATACAGGCTGCCTGTTTGTTAGCTTTATTCTCTGTTTTGTCAGTGTTTGATTTTCAAAATGTCCTMTGTCATCTCTTCTAAAGCATTCAAATCATGAAGTATTCCTTTAATAGATCTCACATGTATTTACTGTAATTAAGTGTAACTTGGAAGTATATGATGTTGGCAGAGTTATCTTCTTCTACATATTTTGAGTGAACTAAAAACATGGAACAGTTATCAGACATTGTATCTTAGAAAAGATCAGGTCTGTAGGGTCTCACAAGCATGGGATGAACCCTCCTAGAATATAGCACTGAAAATCTAAATTTTTGTAGGATGCAGGCTTGTGCCCTTTGGCCCTTGGTCCCACAGGGAAGTAAAACTTCTGTGTGTACCTGCTCACTGTTCTCACGTACTGTAATGGTTTGCATTAGAA